ATACAACCCCGTGAAAGTTTTTGCGGTTAAATTACTAATTCGGGAACCATGAAAGCTAAGGGGGTGAAATTTTACGGTGATGTTCCTTGCTCACATACTGCCACCCGGCAAGTTTAAATTCAGCCTTCCCGCTTGCTTGGCTATCGCATTAGGCCCTATGAAAGTTTTGGCGGGGAAAATTGTTATCTTTGGAAACTGTGAAGGCCAGAAAGCTGAAATTTTTGAGATAATGACCTGTGCCTACGTGTGACCTCGAGAATTTAATTTCAGCCTTCCCCTGCCGTTAGGTACCTTACATGGCGCCGTTAAAATTTTAGTGGGGAAATTATTATCGCGGAAACTATATAAGCTAGGGAGCTGGACTTTTTCAAGTTTAAATTCAGCCTTTCCGCGCGCTCGGATGTCACATAGGGTTCGGCGAAAGTTTTGGCGGAAGCCAGAAGAGGTAGGAGGCTGGAAGTTCCAGGAGAATGTTTTCTGCCTATGCAGGGCCACACAAACTCGACTTTAGTTCCCAGGTATGCCGAGGTCTTACGCACGACCACGCAAAAGTTTTGGCGTGAAAATCACTCATAAGCCTGAAAACTAGAAGGTTAATTCTGGAAGAATGTTCACCGTACAAGATTTTAGTGGGAAATTTCGTAGCTTAGGAACCAGGCAACATTTCAACTATTTTTGTGCAGACAAAAGTGCAAAGTAGTGGAGATCTTTAGCAGGCAAACTTTCGCTGGACGGAACTGCGCAAAGCGCATAATCGCACTGGCAACCCTGGTGCGCGCCGCTATTTATATATTTTTTCCTGTTGAACAATTTTGCCACTCCGATTTGCATACCGCTGGAGAGAAGCGTGAGACACAGTGAGCCCATATCGTCCAATCTTTTTTCGCAGTTTGCCTTTGAAATCGTATTCTAATCACTAAAATAAAAAGAGAAATAAGTGAGGTGCTGCCGGAACTCAATACAGGAAGCAAGGAAATTGGCCTGAAAAATAACGCATGGAGAACGAAAGTGATGCATAGTGCCGGAATACCCCCGCAAACAGATTGTAAATAAACGGTGTTAACTTGAAAGAAGATAACTATGTATGGCTTGGCCCGAAAATAAATATGCGCCACAATCTTACACCGGCGACTGCATGTCGTAGGAGTGCCGGTCGACGTAAATTTCGCATTATCGCCTACGTCCTCATAGTACCATTATGCTGAAGGCAGTGACGTATGAATGTGGGACGTGGTTACTCATAAAAGCCGAGAAGCCAGCGCTGGCAATGACGGAGAATGTGATGGAACGAAAGATGTTTGACATTTCTTTTCGCCACCGTACAAGCACCTGCATTTCCTGAGAGATGAACGGCGTGCAGTATGTCACTGAGGCAATGCGAGAAAGCGAAATTCGATGGGCAAAGCGTATTGCTTGTCTTGCATACAACCGGTGGATAATGCTCATTGGTGAGTGTTATCCGCGAGAAAATAGATGGCCTTCGGGCGACTCCTGAACATACACAGAACAAGCGATGAATACTAGCTGAAGGTGTGCAGTCCAGTATCGAAGGGCTTGTATGCTCTACGTATGGGGCTATCTTAGTAGCATCAGCAACGTCACTTGTGGGAAACAGCTTAGGGATGAAACACAGACAGCCAGTTTCACATTCAGCTTCCCTACATGTCCTCCTTACATCTTGTTATAATACACATATGCGTTTCACAATCTATTTCATTTCCTCTTTTCGTGGCATCACGACGATCCATTCAACCCACACTAACAGCTCATTCCTGGTATTCTTGGAGGACAGTAATGGGTTGGGATTGTTGTGACCTAGGCTTCTCTCCGCTGCTCTGCACAGTAGATTAAATTCAGGAAGTGAACAATGGGCGTTCTGGTTATTGTAACGAGTACACAGATGGCATTAATGACGGAGAAATAAGCGAAGCGATGGATGTACAATCGAATCCGAATCCATTTGAAATGCTGTTTGATGCACCGCAAGGTTTTTTGCTCTGTTTCTTTTCTGCACTTTCCAGTCTTTCGTAGATATCCAGATACGCTTATTATTTGTATATTCACATCGACACACAGATGCCACTGATACCTTAGCATTCCGGATTTCTTTCTCGTACATTTCTGCTTCGATAGCCTTTATACATTCTTATAAACACACATATGTTGGCACTATATTGGCATCACCGGCTTTTTCAAATATTTTAATTTTGATGGACCTTTATGTTAATTCAAAAGTGCCATTAGCATATTACCATCTCTGGTTTCCTCACAGTTATCAGTTTCGCAATTCACATCCATTCTTATGTTACTGGTACGTACGCGCTGCACTCTTCACTTGTAGCCCATCCATTATTCACGTCGACATACACACACACACACACACATGCATACATAAATATACATATCCACACACACACACACACACACACATATGAAACAGGTGCATTAGTATATCCAGCCTTTCCCCGATTTATTAAGCTTTATGCATTTCCTTTCTTTTTTTGTCACTCCTTGCATCCTTTCTACAATTATAATTGGCATTTCATGTAGTTTTCTTGATTGTCTTTAGCAGAAATGACGTCTGTGGTACATGAAGTGCCGACAGGTGCAGCAAAACGACTGCTTTTGATCGATGCAGCAAATATTTTGCATTCGACAACTTCCAGCAGTGCTCAGGAAGCGTAAGTCTTTTGTTCATTTTCCATTTTTATGCGTTTTTTTTCTATCCCGTACAAATGCAGAACGCATATTGTAACGACCCATCGTGAGTTTTATTTATACATATGCATATTTATATATATGTATATATATGTGCATATGTGTGTATATATGCATGTGTATGCATATGTATATAGATATGTGTGTGTACGTGTATAGACATACGTATTTGTGTATACGTACACCCATATATATAATGGAACGACCACTTGTATGGTGGATTGTTTTGTTGCGTGGTGCGTTGACTAGTGGGCAAATTAGATAACAAAGCACGTTTATGTCTTAATTGAAATGGAGCATGCAAAAGGTACAGATAATACAGTGTGTGGCGCATGGTATCTGAGAAATGTGATGGCTTGCTGGGGCAAGGGATTTCAGGAACTGAGTTTGCGTTTAGCAGGAATTCAGCAAGGATTCCCGAAATGTTGAATATCCGTTGGCTTCGTAGCGAAGATGACAGTGGTAGTTGACGATGGGTTCCGTGGGAGATGTGTCTGACGAGAAGACGGTGACGGTTGTTGAAACTGAAGGTCGTCCAAAAAA